CAAATATACAGTCATCGATGACGAAATAGGCTAATCTAGCAGTGAGCTTTATAAATTTTATATTATATTCGCTAAACTAAGCTGTATAGTATGTACCTGACAGGGTTTAATTTTATCCTTCAATACTCCTAGAGATATTATTCGTTCAAACCTCAGAAGGGGATATTTTACCTTCTTTGTCACTACTTGTGACATCGAATCAGTTGTTTGACTGATTTTTCATTTAAGCGAAGCACCATATTGGGATATCCTGAGCTAGAAGGGGATCTGTAGGGTATTTTTATGGTAAGTTAGACCAGAAGCTTTTCTTCATGCAATCATTCCGGTAGTATGAACGTAGATCTCAGCTTCTGATTGATGGAAGGCCAAAAGTCCCATCTTCATGTAGCCTGACCTGATTGAAGTTTGTTTCAGATAATTGGGTATGACTTTCACAAGATAACTGATAAACCTGATTAGAAGAGTAATTTGATTTTTGGTCCTTAAGTGGTATTGAACTATAGACCTTGTGATTGTGACCTGGGAGCACTACCATTGGGTTATTGATCCACAGGTCTAAATTTGTATAAAATATATTTATATACACTCACAATAATATCTAATAAACAAGGTGTAAGCCACCCAGTTAAAAAAAAAATTTTTTTATGACAATTAATAAGTTAATTAATCACTTTTTGATAAAAAATTTCAATACTATTATTTACTTTTTAAAAATCATATTTTTTTTTAATTTTAATATTATAATCTTTTTATTAGTAAAAAAAATTTTTTTAATATTACTAAAAATAAAACTTTATATAAAGATTTTTAATATTATTGATTTTTTTTTTTAACCTGCAATTATGTTATGATAGCTTGTTTTTATTGAAAAATAAAATAAAATTTACAATAGTTTACAAATTTTTACAAAGTAACTAACTTGTTTTTATATATAAGTACTTTAAGTCAAATTTTAAAAACAATATTATATTTCCTTAATAGATTGATAATAACCTCTATCTATTAGAATTATTGACAATAGTTTGTTACTATTAATTGACCTAAAAATCAATAAATTGTTAAGTTAAAAAGAAAAAAAAGTCAATCAATTAAAGGAAGGGAACAACTCAATATTTATCAAAAAAGCTTAAAAATAAAAAAAACCTTTTTTTAAAAAAAATTTGCCTAATTGAAATAGTTTTTTTGCTTTACTTGAACCTTAAAAAAAATCTTTTTTTTTCCTATTTGTGACATCAGATGAATTAATTTTCTGGTCTTTTATTTAAATAAATATTGGATTGAAATATTTCAAGAAAAGTATTTAGACATCAGTTTTTTTTATTAAAGTTTTATTACTACTTGAGAAACTTAAGTAAAAGATAAGAATTTATAATCCATATTACCCATTACTTGATCTTTTGATATTATAGAAGTTTTTATTAAAGAATTTGAACTTTTAAAAATAAATATTTTTGAAACATTCTTTTCAATTATTAATAATATTATTAAAACATATGTATAACCAATAAGGGCTTGTTTAAATTTTAGAAACTAACATGTTTTGTATTAGCCAATCACTTTTGATAAGAATTTATATTATTAAAAATTTAGGATTAAATTAAAATAAGTAAAATTTTCTATAAAACTATAAAAGTAAAAGCTTTAAGAAAACTAAAATAGTTAAAAAGGAAAAAATAAGTTTGTTAATTACAATAAAACCTTTGTAAATCTCTTGTTTCAAAAGTTAAAAGGATCTTTAGATACTTTATAGCTAATTTTTTTTCCTTTGAAAACTTTCTTACTATTGATATTAAATATGTTACTTAATTTTTCTTGACCATTGGAAGTCAAGTTTTTGGATGAAAAGATTTGTAAACAATAAAAAAAGAATAAAAATAATTCTTAAAATCAATTTCAAGTTGTTTTAAAAAAAGGATTAAAACTTTATTAACAAAGAAGTGAAAAACTACTTATGAACATCTTTTTTGAATGATTAGAAAATTAGTAAAAAAAATATATTTATAATTTTTTAAACTTCTAATAATACTGATATTAAATATTTTAAATAAATTCTTGATATTGTAACAAACTAATCAGTGAGTTTGTCACTAATAACCAAAAGCTTGCATAACCTGCAAATAGAAGAGTTTGTTTTTCTATTACATACACAAAAATAAATATAAGACAGATACGTAAAAGATTTAGATAAGTCTCAAGATAGTTTTTCTTAAAACTACTTATAATTTCACTATTATAACAATCTATTCAAAAGATTTATCTTAAGATTTATTATTTTATTAAGTCCTTGGAAGAAGTTAAATTATATATTTTTATACATAGGGTTATTACATAATTATTATAGCTATTATAATATTATGTTATACATAAATTACTTTGTAGTCAGTTAATTTTCTATTATATCAGCTCATAGTTTTTTATCTTTTTGACATGAATAGATTGTTCGTATATTCTTCTGTCTTGTAAGGAGTATAGTAATAGTTGATAATTGATTATTTTATGTAAGCTCCAATCATGTTAAGATTATTGGTCACGTGACTATGGCAAAAATTCTAAACTTGGTCTGACTTTTTTGACCTTTAACAATATACAGTGTTAACCTTAATTAATAGTTATATTTCCCTTTAATTATTATCTATAATTCTTATCTATTATATTACTCTAGTTCTATTTTTAGATCATATGACATATATAATGCAAAATGTATCTTATTGATTCATAGGATAGATCTAATTATTAGGGCAAAGTAGAAATTTACATAATGCATATTATTTAATTTCTTTATTCTATTATTATATCTTATCTACAGTATATTTGGCTAACAGGTTATTCAAGTTATAGACCTAATATATTAGTCTGATTTAGTAAATCTAGCAGATTTGATTACTTTGATTACTTTGATTATTAAATAATTAACATTCAATTATGTATATAAAGACCAGCTGTTCAAAATAGTTGACTCAAGGTTTTACCTATTGAATTCTCTTATCCTTAACATTATATATCTCTAATAAATCTTTTAATTAAACCAAATTATTCAAAACCTCTTTCAACATATTTATGTAACCTCTACTATCCTTGAATTATCAACTTTAGTATATCACAACCAAGGTATTTTCCCTCAATTTAAAATGGATTACTGTTATAGTTGTCCTATCTATCTATCTGATTTGGAGATTATTGGAAAGGTTAACAACAGTATTAAATCCTTTTATAGAATAATAAACTATTTAATAGATTATAATTAGATTGTAATTTTAATCTTTGTTATTGTAAAGAAAGTATCAATACTAGATTATCATGTATTTGTCTTATCCTAATTAGATAAGACATAAATAGTTTACTCTTTATATTATTCAATGATTTGAAAATCCTTAGACAGTACAGATAAGTATTCCTCCCAATTGTTTATGGGTATAATCTTTATTTTAATAAAATAATTGCGCATGGCGCAAGGATGAGTGAGCATTAAACTGAAATCCATTAAAACTTAATTTTACACTTGATTAATACATACAGTATATAAATCCAATGCATTTATTTAATATAATAATATTATAGAACAAATTTCAAAATATGAACTAGATTTTAACATACGTAACTTGCTTTTTTTAATTGAATGAGAATTTGTGTTACAATTCTAACTTCGATTACTGGATTTTCATCAATCATCATTGTAAGAAAGCCACAATGCCCTTTAAATTTTTGCGTAATGGCACCGCAAGCTTCGAATTTGCTACCAAAGGATCCACAAGGTTTTCGGTACTAAATCGAAGCTTCTCTACTGTTATGGCTTCTCGGGTCAGTCTCGATATTAATTTTTTGTTTTACAATAAAGGCACATTTACACGAATTCGTTATAAATCTTGATGACTAATTAATTCATTTAGGCTGATTGGACTCGATTTATTCGGCAAGTACTCGGCCGAAGTTTAAGATAATCAATTCTCAGAAATTGCCTGCCTCTAAATTGATTTTTATCTTTAGATTTATCGGTGAGGATGATAAAGTTTACCAGGGTCAACCTATTGATCCTTCCGGAAACTGGTCCAATGAAACAGAACTGAAAGCTAACTTGATTAGTGGAGATTTGTTCAAAGACACAGTCAGAGTTACAAACGATGTTATGCGTGTGAAAAAGGTTTTAATGAATTTTTCGTGTTGTATTAAAATCAAATTTTATGTGGCAATTAACGCACTAACTTTTTTTGTTACGACACCCAAAGCTCCTGGCACCATTAGATGGCTCGCAAGTTCCAATCATTCGATGTATTGGACTCAATTACAGAAAACATGCAAAAGAGACAAATAAACCATTACCGCGACACCCGATTTTGTTTATAAAACCCAGTACGTCTTTACAAGATCCTTTTGCACCAATTAAAGTACCCTACATCGCCACCGACAATCAAATTGATTACGAAGCGGAGTTGGCGGTCGTTATCAAAAAACCTTGCAAAAATGTATCAAAGGAAGGAGCATTGGATTATGTTTTAGGCTATACTGCGTCAAATGATGTTTCGGCTAGAAAATGGCAAGGTAGAAATTATCTACTTTGACATTTGTTCTTAACTTATTTAACAAGACGAAGTCAGTTATATTAGGGCAATTATATACTGTAGGAATGAATAAGGGTTCTGGTCAATGGTGTTTTTCAAAGGTGAACAAGAAATTTTGAAATGCTGACTCGTGCGTATTTAGTTCTAATAAGTTTTTTTTTGACATTCGACACACAGGGCTTTGACACATTTTGTCCAATTGGACCCGTACTTGTGTCATCAAGAATCATCAGAAACCCGAATGCGCTTGGCATCCGTACGCGCGTTAATAACAACACGCTACAAGATTCAAATACGCGAGATATGATTTTTGATGTGCCCGAGTTGATTTCTTTTTTGAGCCGCGGTACAACATTACAACCCGGAAGTCTCATTCTTACTGGAACTCCAGAAGGTAAACATTTCCGATCCTTTTTTGCGGAAGTCATTCTCTGGCATCACGAGGGTTTTTTTTTTTTTTTTTTTTTGAAGAAAAATTTCTGTATTCGCCGCTTGATAGGTGTGGGATTTGTCCGTGAACCTCCAATCTATCTTCAAGACGGCGACGAAGTATCAATTGAAATTGACGAAATCGGAACTCTGACCAATAACGTAGAATACGAGAAGACCGGTGAACAAGTAAAGGCGTCGAAGCTTTAACTAATGAGTGTTCTCTCTGTCCGCCTTTTTCCAACGAAAAATAAGAATTCTATTCATGTAATTTTCCTGAACTTGTAATTTCGAAGACGACAGAAAATGTCGAGAAATTTTCGGAGTCACCCGACACAGTTTCGAACTGCATCACCAAACTGTGCAAATGTCGCACGTAATTTAAAGCTGTTGCAATTTTCGAGTTTTTCACGATGTTTTAAATCACATCTCTTGTATATGTGATAACTTGCGTCGATATGAATAATAAATAAAGATCGATCAAAGTTTACTCTTTATTATTTTATGAAACATCGGTTTTGATTTGTTCCTACGGTTTAATAAATTTGCAGTATAATCGGAATTGCAAGTAAGCAATTCTGGAAATTAAAAACAAATATGCATGCACGGTCGCCATGCATGCATATTTATGAAACGAGGTTCGCGCGTAGCTAATAATAAAAAAACTTCAGATCGTGAACTCAGCGCATCTCGACTCCATGGTGTGTGTTCTTTTTGTGATTTCCTTTAAATCATGAATTTTTTTTTATTTATTATGCATGCTTATAATAAAAATTTTTTGAAAAGGTAATACACAGTGTACACCAATTTTCAGTGCTAATTTTACAATCTGCAATTCGTCTCTTTCACCAGTCAAGCTTTCTGTCCCCACATTCTGCACCGGCACATCCAATTTCCTCCGTGTTTCCCACAATTTGAATGTCAATCGGTGTCTTCAACGAATTGTCTGCGCCTGTCTTGGCCGTGTGTTTCTTGGTAACAATCCACTTACTGGTTCCGAGCAGTCGATCCAATTCTCGTGACGGCGGAAGCTCAAGCCAAACGTAGTCACCTTCAGCTTTGACTCCAAAAGTCATAATCTTCAAATCCACATCACCAGAAATACATTCGCCAGTTTCGAAGGCAAAACTTTTCTTGTGCATTGGACAACTAACATTTAAGACGCCATTTTCATTATCACCAATTACTCCGCTAGCAAGCACAAAGGCTCTTTTGTGCGGACACATGTTTTGAGTGGCGTACCAACGCGTTCGACCGATATTGAAGATTGCAATTTGTGTATCACCATATTTTATGACTTGACCTCCGTCCTCGGGGAATACGTCGACTGGAGCTATCTTAACCCATGACTTTCCATCTACTAGGTTTTCCATCTTTGGCTTCCCATCAGAATCCGAAAATTCTTTTGGCCAATCTGCGGGACGTCGTTGACCACGTTCCTCAATCATTTCGATTTCGGATTGAGTATCCGGGGTGTTGAGAAATTGTTTGAAATAATTTCGTCGAGACGGATCCCCGACCACTTCCGTCCACTCGCATCGATACGTGTTGATAAGACGCAACATGTCCTCTTCCAATTCTTTGCATACTCCAAGTTTATCGTCGATTATTACCGAGCGAAGATACTATTATAAAGTTCGCATTATTAATATTGAAATCTCAGAGTAAAAATCACGAAACATGTAACCTACATCAATTCCGCCTTCTAATTTTTCGAGCCATCTCGCTGTACGCGTCAATCGGTCCGCAGTATGAATATAATACATCAAGAATCGATCCAAATATTTAATGCATAATTCTTCTGGAACATCTTTTGCTAGCAGCACAGCATGTTTTGGTTGCGAGCCACCATTCCCACAGACATAAATGTTGAATCCTTTTTCGGTAGCGATGAGACCAAAATCTTTCCCTTGAGCTTCGGCGCATTCTCGGATGCAACCGGAAACGGCGCCCTTAATCTTATGAGGAGATCGTATGCCTTTATATCGATTTTCAATTCGAATGGCGAAGCCTACCGAATCACCAATTCCATAACGACACCATGTTGAGCCAACACAAGACTTGACCGTCCTCAGCGCTTTTCCATAAGCATGACCGGATTCAAAACCCGCATTCACGAGTTCTTCCCAAATCTCCGGGAGATCATATTTGTTTGCGCCGAAAAGGTCCACCCGTTGGCCACCTGTAATCTTCGTGTAAAGCCCATACCTCTTGGCGACCTGACCTAGCGTTATAAGTTTTTCCGGTGTGATTTCACCTCCGGGGACGCGCGGAACGACGGAATAGGAACCACCGCGTTGAATGTTGGCAAGAAAGCGATCGTTCGTGTCAAGAATCGTGGCATGATCAAGAATAGGTTCATTCCATAAACTTGCGAGAATCGAGGCAATAGTGGTTTTGCAAATTTCACAACCATAGGTGCCCTCCTTGCCGGAAGTTTGGATGATCTCTTTAAAGGTCTTTAGCTTTTTAATCTTGACGATTTGGAAGAGTTCGACACGGGTGAATTCAAAATGAGGACATAAATTTTGAGTCAATTTCTGACCCATGGCTCTCAACTCCGAGCTCAAGATCTCAACCACCACCGGGACGCACCCACCGCATCCCGTTCCCGCTTTCGTGCATGACTTTATCTCACCGATCGATCGACAATTCTGAGTTCGAACGGCGGCACGAATTTGACCTTTGGACACGTTGTTGCAAGAACTGATATGCGAGAGGTTAATTAGGCCAACAAGGAAATATAACTGAAGACAAACGAATCCTCAAGTGTTCAACCAAAAAAAAAAAAAAAAAAAAAAAAAAAATCTATTTACCAGATTTGAGCTTCGTCAGGTAGGTCGTCAGAACCGGGTGCCTGACCAGACTTAACGCCAAGAATGAGTTCGCTAGGTTTCATGGACAGCGGTTTCTTCGATCTCGACAATGCGTGAAGTTTCGCGTAATCATCGGTATCACCAACCAGAATTCCACCCAGGAGATGTTTCCCATCCTTTGAGAACATCAATTTTTTATACACCGAACCGAACGGATCCTTATAGACAAGGGGCATTGCCACGTCATCTTTGGCGAAGTGATCGCCGAAGCTTGCCACATGGACTCCAAGGAGTTTGAGCTTACTCGATAAGTCGCCACCCGTAAACTTTCGATCCGACGCCGGTCCTACCAAATTTGCAGCAACGACATCGGCCATATCATAGCCGGGAGCGACGAGGCCATAAATCATTCCGCCGTGCAAGGCCACCTCACCGATTGCAAAGATAGACGGGTCATTTGTCTGCAATCGGTCATCGACGAATATGCCGCCTCTTTGATGAGTGTCGATGCCCGAATTCTTGGCGATCTCGTCCCGTGGGCGAATCCCGGCGGCAATCACCAACATGTCTAAGTCCATGAATTTACCATCGGGGAAGGATAGTCCTTTTATCTTTCCATCATCACCGACAACAACTTCCTTGGGCGGTTGACCTAGAGCGTGGTTGATTCCCAATTTTTCAATTTCGCTGAGCAACAGTTTCGCCCCCTTCTTATCTAACTGCCGAGGCATTAATATAGGGCTAACTTCCACGATGGTCAAATCTAGTCCTAGGTCGTGTAAAGCTTTTGCGGCCTCAAGTCCAAGCAAACCACCGCCAATAACGGCGGATTTCTTGCAATTTGCACTATAGGAAATAATCTCGTTCAGGTCATCGATGGTTCGATAGACGAACACACCGCCGCTATTAACATTTGGCATAGGAGGTTTCCAAGCGTAGGAACCGGTCGCAATGACGCAATAGTCGTAAGAAACGGTGAGGCCTTTGGAGGAGTGAACGGATTTATTTTCACGATCAATTCGCACCGCTTTATCGCCCAAGTGGATTGTCACATCGTGATCTTCGTACCAAGGAGGGGGTTGCATGAACAGATTTTCTTCGGAGCGATGAGCAAAATATTGGGTCAAACCAACCCTGTTGTAAGCCACTTTAATTGAATCGATGAATTAAAAAAAAAAAAAATTGGAAGAATAACCATGCGATCACACGAAAACAGTCGTTTTCACTGGTACCTCTTGGTTCCTCGCTGAAACTTTCGATCTTAAACTTTTTGTGAACATCATATTTCAGCAATTTCTCGATAAACGACAATCCGACCATGCCGAGCCCAATCACCACGACAGTTTGTTTCTGTGGTTTTTGGTCAGTTTGGGATGTCTCAACTTTTGAAGACATGATTCGTCAAATTTTGCGGAAGCGAAATGTAATCAAGTACAGAGAAACAAGAAAAGATCTAATACGGTCATGCACGTTTGCATAGATTAAATGGGAGAAATTAAATAATACCAATTTAGCGAACGATGAGCAGTCGCTTAATGAGCTTTCATATGTCCTTTACCATATATATATATAGGGTATTGCATATCATATGTATACTTGTTTTTTTTTTTTTTTTTTTTTTATTAAACCTAAATTCACACATGTAACATCTGCGCGAATACAATAATGGATTTAGATGCATTATCATAATTGACGACGAGATGTGTTGGAAGGAGATAACGCGAGGCGAATAAATATTTTGTTGCCGGTGTATTCGTGCCTCGTCAATCAATCATGTTCTGCTTCAACAAATCTACCCCACTTCCACTTTAACGGTACTATCTCGCATCATCTGTGTCCAACACAGAATCAAATTGGTCAAAGACGCGAAATGGAATTTTACCCTAGAAATGATGCTCCTACGATAAAGGGAACAATTTGCTCGACATATTTTTAGAACTCGGTATTCTGTCAAAGGCATTGATGCGTATATGAAGGTCGAAGTGAGAATGACAATTGACCCAAAGAAAAGGATAAACGATCATCCCCCCAAAAAACGAAACTCCGGTCTTAGAAGACATGGAAGTTAATTCACATATCGATATATTAATTTAACTTATTATCTTATCTGCTATCTGTTAGATGTCGAAATCAAACACCCCTGGCACAATCTCGAGGTGCACAAATTGAGAGTGCCATGAGATGCACAGGACCGCTTATGGCTTATCGCACTTCTGCTCGAAATTTCATGCGACATTGATATTTTTGTTTGGAGTTCATGCGCTCTCTCACGCGAACAAATGTTATTCGCCCCTCCGGACCGTTTCAGTATGATCGGTGTTCCAATTTTTACCATCCCTTTCAGTACCACATGAGGATATAATACGTCTTATCGCGAACTTTCGTCCTTTGTGCATGCATAAATTGAACATTATCAGATCTATTAAATAAATATGTTCTCCCCAAGATCAGTTTTCCTAAAAGGACCATTTTACGAAATTTTTAATTATGTGCAGAAGCCAAAATAATTTCACGAATGCTTTCACGACAAAAATTAATTCGCGGGTGTAAATTTGTTCTTTTAAGACCTTCATTTACTGTATTTTTTTTTTTTTTTTTCCACAAGAGATTGAAGTGTGGTTGGACAGGAACTTTTTTTCCATGATTGGTGCCAACAATGCTGACGCCCCCCGATATTTCCCGAACTCAGAGAATTCAGAGATGTCAAATGCACATTCGTATTCTAAGCGCGTAACAATTTAAGTAATAAATAAATATGTACACATTAATTCGTGCCAGAATTCTATAAAAAATTCAAATAAAAAATGATCGTTATCTTACGTAATCACATACGCTTAGAATTTTCGACATGTGTATTTCCGTCAGGGAGGGATCAACTATTGTTACCTCATTGGGAAAATTTGAATTTACGTTTAACTTATTATTTTCAAAGAGAGAAAAAAGAATTCCTAATTGCAAAAGGTCGGATGCTCTCTAGGCGTTATCTCGACTACTTTGAGGTTGGTTTGGGCGGTTAAATGCACAAAGATAGGGATTGCAAGTTCTCAAGCAAAAAAAAAAAAAAAAAATTAGATAAGGATAAGATAACTTACGGTGTGGTTATCAGTGATGTAACATTTCTCCTTCCCTTCACCCCATCACCATCACCAATCCATCAATTATCACATTTTTTATCTCACATTTTTGATTTACCATTTTTGGCATTATTTCAGCGTTACACTTCATTAACTATATCGATACGGCATACGTTCATTTTAAAAAAAAACAATCATAAGCGATACACCGTGTCCGATCTCCAAAAACCTTTAAAAACCCCCCATCCTCCGATGAAAGCGTAACATTTGCTCCTGTAAATTCCATCTAACAGAGCAACACCTTTCAATTAGAATATCTCCTCCTCTTTTCCTTAAAAAACTAATAAAACATGATTAACCTACTGTCGAACCCGTTACCCACTGCTGATGGAACTGAAAAGTCGAAGGCCACTGCCTTAAACTTATTGAGTGGCAAAAGGCCTCATATGAGAGGGTTTCACTTTGCATGGCTTTCTTTTCAAGTAGCTTTCTTTGGATGGTATTCCATCCCCCCCTTGATACCCACAATCCAAAGTGATCTTAAGTTGACCACTGATCAAATAAACAATAGTAATATCATTGCCGTGTCATCCACAATTCTATTTCGTATAATTGCCGGTTTATTGTGTGATCGTTTGGGTCCAAGACGTGTTATGGCCTGCATTCTTCTCTCTGGTTGCATACCAGTCGCTCTTAGCGGTCTCGCTCACGACGCGACAAGTTTTATGACTTTACGATTCTTTATCGGACTTCTCGGTTCATCATTTGTACCATGCCAATTCTGGACAATGCAAATGTTCGAGAAAAATGCCGTCGGAGCTGCCAATGCTTTTGTCGGCGGGTGGGGAAATATGGGGGCTGGAGTTACCACCTTGCTGATGCCTTTATTGTACGACACAATCGCCTTAAGGCTTCCACCTCACCAAGCGTGGCGCGTCGTTTTCCTAATACCCACCTTCATGATCATCACGGTTGCAATATTGGTCTTACTCTTTACTGATGACTGTCCCCAAGGAAAATGGGTTCAACACGGAAAACCTGTCGAACGCGAAATTCTCGAGTCCAACGAAAAGAAGACCGCCGGAGTAATAAAGGTTACCGACGACCAGTCAGATTCGGATAAAAATGACGATGAAACACAAGCTTCACCTAAACCCGGATTACAAGCATACCTCAGAGCTGTACAGAATCCAAATGTCATTATGCTCATGATGATGTATTCGTGCTGCTTCGGCGTAGAGTTGGCTGTAGACAATGCCATTGCAACCTTCTTCCACAATCATTTTAATCTTGGTCAAACTCTTGCTGGAACGATCGGATCGATATTCGGTCTTATGAATATTTTCTCCCGTCCCACTGGTGGACTTTTGTCCGACTTCCTTTTCTCGAAATTCGAAATTCGCGGAAGATTGGCCATACAGTTCGTTATGCTATTTCTTCAAGGAGTGTTCCTGATAAGCTTTAACTATTCGGTTAATAATGGTTTTAGATCAGGCCACCGGAGTAAACCTTCGACGCGTAAATTC